CTGAAAAGAAGGAGAAAAACAAATAGAACACGTAAGAGAGGTACACAAACAAGAGTCAGAACACATTATGAGTGAAGGAGAAATAGAGTCTATGAACAAGTTGCGCCATTATGAACAAGTTGCGCCATTATGAACAAGTTGTGCCATTATGAACAAGTTGCGCCATTATGAACAAGTTGCGCCATTATGAACAAGTTGCGCCATTATGAACAAGTTGCGCCATCACTGAATCACCCTTCAAGAGCGGCTACCTACATGCTGCTGAAGGACTCTTGATCCAAGAAATTGAAGTTACTCTCCCCTTGAATCAAAGTGATTACCTATAATTTTCTAGGCGCTATATGTTCCCTACAGGTTTACAGATTCCCAAATAATAATAATAATAATAATAATAATAATAATAATAATAATAATAATTACTCCAGAATAAAAATAATTTAAACCAACACATAAAATGGAGACCAATAGAGATAATTTTTTAATACATCGGTCGTTTCCCACCGAGGCAACGTGACACGAAATAGAAGAAACACTTTTATCATCACTCACTCCATTACTGTCTTGCCAGAGGCGTGCCGATACTACAGTTCAAAAATTGCAATATGTAATATTGAAATTCTAGTGACAATGCTATATTAGTAGTACTAGTATTTGTATTATTTTAGTTATGGTAGTAGAACATTTATGGAGAACTAAACTCTTAAGGGTCACAGAGCAACTCTGGGAATGGGAGGTAATCAGATTTGATTCAATATAGGGGAAAGCGGATCCAGTTCCTTGGATGAAGAGTCCTTAAGCAGCATCAAGGCACCTTGTAGTGTTAACTAGGTGAGACGTAGTTACTTGGAGCAGTAACCATCACTAGGGTCACCTTCTACTCTCCTGCATCACTGCTTAACACAATGTACCAAGCATCTTGCCTCGGTTCAGTAACTACTGATGTATTCTTGGTGCATACTAAGACTGTGACACCCACGTTGAACTTGTTAATGAAAGATACCAAGGTCACCTTTATCTGGGGGCCGGGTGAGTGGCCGGCAGGGCGGGTAAGTGGCCGGCAGGGCGGGTAAGTGGCCGGCAGGGCGGGTGAGTGGCCGGCAGGGTGGTGAGAGAGAGAGGCATTCAGGGTGGGTGAGAGGCAGGCTGAAGCGCGTGTTAGCTAATAAACATGGGGAAGTCCCTCATGATATTCCCGGTAGCCACCATCCTTGTAACATAAAAGATTTTCTTCCAACTATTAATACGATGGATTACTAGTCCTGTATAATCCAAAAAACGCAATCACTGAGACATATCCATTGGTATACCTGAAATATACCTGGAGAGTTTCGGGGGTGAACGCCCCCGCGGCCCGGTTTGAGACCAGGTTAAGTATAAGGAAGCATGTATTACTACTGTTATTACCACTTCCTCTCCCGCCCCCTCATACATATTCTTGCCTTCATTTCTCCCTTCAGTGTGAATTGTCAATGGTCCAAGACGGACCGAAACGTTGTTATATATTACCCCCTCTCTTAAGTGGAGGTTATTTGTGTAATGCCCAATGTCTTCAAGTGACCCATAATCGAACCCGCGTCCTTCGGTTGTAAGCCGAATGCGTTAAATAAGGACGCATGACAAAGGCTGCAGACAAAGATATACAGAGAAAGACTATACAACAGACTACTTAATACCGTAGTTAACTCGACGTTATCTACCAGAGAACTTCGTTGAAAATATCTTGCCAACACCGAACTCGCAACAATGTATTTAATTAGGGAAATCAAGACCTGGAACTGATCCTGAGAAGCACTGGTCTGGCAACAGAGCTGTAGATGAGTGGAACAAACTCCCAGGTCACTGAGGCAAGAACTCTGGAAAGTTTAAGTACTGGTACAGTAGTGGGAGCGGGGTGGGTATCATGAGTTAGATCTTAGTAACATCGACCAATTGGCCTGCTGCAGTGTTCCCTCGTTAATGTTAAGAGAGACAAGATTTTGTTAGGATTTTTAACCCCGGAGGGTTAGCCACCCAGGATAACCCAAGAAAGACAGTGCGTCATCGAGGGACTCTTATTTCCATTGGGGTCCTCAATTTTGTCCCCCAGGATGCGATCCACACCAGTCGACTAACACCCAGGTACCTACTTGTTTGCTAGGTGAACGGGGGACCTGTGTAAAGAAATACACTCAATGTTTCCACTCTTGCCGGGGATCGAACCACAGACACTGTGTGAAGTGAGAGCATTGTCTTCCAGGCCACGGGTCACCATGTCTTGTGTGCTTTACGGCCTTTATCATCACAACCACCTTCACAACCCCCACTACCACTAAAACAGCCACAACTACCAAGATAGAATGTATTCCCTTTACGATCACATGCTTACTCACAGCGTGAGTGACACCAATACATTCATTTCTCAGGGTTATTTTTACTCACAGCACGAGTGACAACAGTACATTCACCCCTCGGGACAAAATGTAAAGAGTAAGCGAGGAGTGAAAGTGAAGCTCGGACCCTGGTATGTTCCATGCTGCCGTAACTTACCACACTAACGCTGCTTCTGTCGACCTTCGTCAACCCCTTCCCACCACACTGGGCCACCTTAATTAACGCGGTGCTAGGCTTTAACTGATTTGTGCCACAGGATGGAGGCTCTTTTTCTTTGAGGGATGAATTTCTCACTCTACATAAACGCTGAGGGACATTTCCCCTTTCGTCTAGATTTGCTAACACGGTGGTTAACATGGAACGAATTATGGATATGGACTGGGGAATGCGGGAAACAGACTTTGAATAATTTTACTTGCTTTGTGATTACCATTTATGTAATATGAGAATGACTTGCACACGACAGTAGCAAATTCATGAGAATCTATGAAAGGAAAAAAAAAACTGCAGCAAACCTACTGGTCCATGCCAGGCAAGTCCAACTCACACCTACTCATGCCTTGGTTGAAAAATGGAATGGCTTGGATGAGGAAGTGGTGGAGACAAACTCAATACACAGCTTCAAGAGTATACATGATGGGACCCGAAAGTTGAAAAGTCAGTGATGGTGATGATGGCAATTAGTAGAAGCGGGGCTACAACCTGACTGTAATGTACATAAATGGTTCACAGAACCGGCAAGTACATAAATGGTTCACAGAACCGGGAAGTTTATAAATTAGACACATGTGCAACACTTGGTTATCTTTATTGGGGAAACGTTTCGCCACGCGTTTCCTCAATAAAGAAACCCAAATGTTGCACATGGGTCTTAATTTATCAGAAACTGACTGGTGACCCCGTAAACACAAATCGATAAACACACACACACACACACACACACACACACACACACACACACACACACACACACACACACACACACACACACACACACACAACGTAAGTACGTACGTGTGTGTGTGTCCAGGACGTAGGTACGTCCTGGACATTTAGTACACGTCTCTATCAATTCAATCAACAATGTGTTATATCAGCAAAGTGTATCTTAATAACAACAATCAAAGAGCAAGAAGACAAATCCAGGTGTTGATTCAAGGAGTTAATACCACTATGAAACATTTGTAACCCTCACCTTACCCTTGCCCACACACCACACCAGAATACCAATAAGAATAACCTTCAATGTTTGTCGGGCAGTATCAGCCAGCTTAGACTAGAGAGTCAGCGCTACACGAAGTAGCAAGAACTCGGCGACTAGTCTGCACCAGTTAGTTCTTTATTTAGATTCAGTCGTCTGCGCAATAATTACTATATATTTAATTAAATAGAAATAGCAATTAAAAATTACAATGTTATAAACTGTCATTATATACTGTATACACAAAAGTGACATGTTATGACGGCATAACCCGGATAGTCTTGCAGTTCCTCAAATGGATTAAAATCTGTCGGTGTTCCACATTTTGTTTACTTCATATCCACTGCTAACTCTCCCTCACTACTTCAATAAAACAATATATTCGACATATAAAATTAAAACCTTATCTTCAACATGTACAACTAACAGCATAGCTAGGCTGTACTGACGGCCATCTTCAACATGTACAACTAACTCAGTGCTCCTGAAAATATCTACAGATATAAAATAATCCAGACTATACTGACGGATTCTTAGCTCTAAACAGATGATTAGTACTGTATTATAAGAAGTGCTAAATCCATATAAATCGTTAGAGAACTTGGGAAATAAAAGAAAATTAGATTTGATTTAACTGAAAATGGAGTCGGTAGTTCTTTTTGTTGTTTATATTCGTAAGGAAGATTGTTCTGAAGGATGTTTCTGGGGTCAACGTCCCCGCGGCCCGATCCCAGACCAGGCCTCCTGGTGGATCACTTCTAGACTATGACTAGGCTATAACTTCCTTTAATAGTTCAGCTTGTATGGAGATCTTAAAAAATATATAAATGGTGAATGCATCCACGGAAACAAGTGGGTTTAAAGAAAAAAAAAACACTGCGACTAGTCGGGAATTGAATCCGAGTCGTCTAGGCAGCCTAGACGCCCCAGATCGCTACACCTTGGCACGGTGGTGCAGTGGTCTAGGGTGTCAAGAGTTTATCTTGCCTCTCCGGAGGCTGCTTATACCACTTGGGTTCAAATCCCGGCTAGTGACAAGATTTTCTTTGCAAAAAAAAAAAAAAAAAAGTGTTTTTACAAAGACAGACCTACATACTAGAACATGGTATGGTAAAATGATTTCAAAATTGACTATCTCGAGATAGATCTAAACAATCCCAACAGGAAATGGCAAATATTTTCATTGTTAATGATAAAGTTAAAGATTCTGTGTCCATCCCCATTTTGCATTAACTATGTCAATCAGCTATTATAAGAAGAAATTGTAAACTATGAAATGACAGCTCTAACAACCTACAATTCTTTTTTTTTTTTTGGCACCAACGCTCACAGGATGAGCTGCGGGTACACAGTCAACAAGCTGTTCCCACACACCTGGCCAGGTACTTGAGTGCCATGTACCACACCTGTGCAATGGCATTATTTATTG